TAGTGTCTACCATCAGAAAATCGATCCTTATGAGAAAGCTGGTGATGTGGGGTCACCGTTTTACTTGGATTTTGTAGTTGATTCTGATGAATCGGAGGTTATGAATATCTGCATTGGTCCTTCGGAAGGTACGCTGGAGCATTATGCTGCGTTTTTGAATGGAGTGGAGATAATGGATATCATGGGCGAATCAAGTGTAGTTATCAAGCCAGATAAAATTAAGAAAACTGTCTTCCTTGTGGTCGGTCCTGTTGTTGGGGGTCTACTTGTTTGCGCCTTGGTAGTTGGGTTGTTTATTGTTTTGAAGAAGAGGAAGAGAACATCGGTTAAAACTTCAGTTTGGTCGCTGTTCAGTGGACACGGCGGCGGAAGTTCCGATAGCAAGGGGACCGATAGAACCATCAATGTCTCCCAGGTCCCAAATTTGAACCTTGGCCTAAGAATTCCCTTTGCCGAAATTCAGTCCGCTACAAACAATTTTGATGAGAAGTTGCTGATCGGAAAGGGTGGATTCGGAAATGTTTACAGAGGAAAACTCAAAAACGGCTCGAATGTTGCAGTAAAACGGAGTCAACCAAGGTCTGGCCAAGGGTTATCGGAATTTCATACGGAAATCATGATCCTATCCAAAATCCGCCACCGCCATCTTGTTTCCCTTATAGGATATTGTGATGAAGGGTCTGAGATGATACTGGTATATGAATTAATGAAAAATGGGACATTGCGGGACCATCTTTACAAAACAAACCTTTCTTGCTTGCCCTGGAAACAGAGACTTCAAATCTGCATCGATGCAGCTAGAGGCCTTCATTACCTCCACAAAGAATGTGCTGGCGGAATCATTCATCGTGATATCAAGTCGACAAACATCCTGCTTGATGAAAACCTCATCGCCAAAGTTGCAGATTTCGGGCTCTCCAAGTCAGCTCCGATGGACCAAACCTATGTAGACACAGGGATCAAAGGCACATTTGGTTACCTCGATCCTGAATACTTCAATACACATCAATTAACTGCAAAATCTGATGTTTACTCCTTCGGCGTCGTGCTTCTTGAGGTGCTATGTGCAAGACCGGCTATTATTAGTGGAGATCCCCAGCTTCCAATGGAACAGGTGAACTTAGCGGAATGGGGACTTCTCTGCCACCGAAAAGGGTTGCTTGAGACGATCGTGGATCCATCAATAAAGGATCAGATCAATCCCAACTCACTGAGGATATTTGCAGAGACGGCAGAGCAGTGTCTACTGGAAGATGGTGCAAATCGACCTAGTATGGACACGGTGCTGTGGGACTTGGAGTATGCTTTACAGCTCCAGCAAACTGTGGTATATAGAGAGCCTCACGAAGACAGCAGCATTGATGCCACCTCCGGTTTGCGATTGGTTAACGTCCAACGACTCCCTTCACTTAGCCTGCAAATTGAGAGAGACGACGTGCCCATTTTGAGGGACAGCACCACAGAAGAGTCTTTCCTATCGGCCAGTAAAGTTTTTTCACAACTGAGAATCAACCATGCAAGATAAAGGCCTTCAATTCTCTTTTAAATTAGTCTTTAAATATAAGATTATATTTTGTATTGTGATAAATTTATCACAATTTAAAATAAAAATTTCTTTAAAAATCTAATCATTTGTTACGGGTTGATTTTCAAAAGTAGTCTAATTAATGAGATGCATTTTATATGTTTTAATTTTTTTTATTTTAGCCTTAATTTTATTATTATTTACGTAAATAAGATGTAATTTTTAATAATTTCTACATAAATTTTGTTTTTAGTGTCGACACCAGTTATCAAGTGTCAACATTATGCTTTAAGCCTTTGGAAAATGGGCCTGGGTGATGCGCGAACCATAATTGTCGATACCAATACTGTAGACACGGTCCCA